TGCGTGTGGATTTTCTGCCTTTGCTGTTCGCCCAGGTCTAATTAACACCAGGTTACCTGATCTGTTCATACCACAAGTCTTCTTGACTTTGAGGGATAACGAGGTCTTTTGGATTTCTAGCCTCGTTGGTAGATCTACACTAACCTGTATAGTTGGAAGAAAATTATCTGTCACTGATTCATCGCTTTACTATATTAGTTAATAGAATCACTCGTTGCGTTAGCATTTGTCAGAGATGCAAATGAGCCGTTAATGATCAGAAATTTCGACAGTCCGCGGGCGGCGTCCATCGCTATGGGACTTGAAGTACCAGCAGAAAACCTTCCATCATGCCACTTACCAAAATCCGCGAACAGAGACCAGCAGGAATGCGAAACAAATTGCAACAAACAGTCCATTCGACACGTCCAGCACAATAACAGCAACGAAGGCGGTCACCGAGATTGTCTGAAGACAATTTGCCAATAATCGTTAATAATAGTTAATAATCGTTATGGTTATCACGGACCAACTTACGAAGTCACACTTTGACAGGCGCCATAACGCCGGAAGTTGCCGCAACTGCAAAATCACGCCCTTCATCGCGACGCATATTATTGCGGCCAAGACACACTAAGAACGCCACGGTGAACACGTCGATTTTGCCTGCCTACCAGCCGTACCTTCGGAAGAGTTCCCAAGAAGCGACCAACGAAGAAAATCACCGACAGAATGATCATGCTTGAGATTACTGACGCAAACTAAATGAACAAGCATGTCTTTCCGTGTACCCGACGTACGTCTACTCTGACACACACTTGACTTCGTCCACCACTGTTTTCCAGAACCATGCTACGAGCCAAAGCTGCGGCAGGGGGCTGGCATGTGAAAAACGAAACGAACAGCTGAATGAAACCGAATGCGTACAATTCCTAAAAGTAGTCGAACCTAGTGCACGTGATCCAACACTAACAGCTGATAGCAGTCTGAGTTATCTGTGCCCATTTCCGAGTTTCCTGACGTCACTCGGCTCCCTTCACCTTTCACAGGGTTGCAGTGATCCGAATCTTGCTCTTTCAGAAGTCTCCTTTCTGGAATGTGACTCATTCATTTTCTAACTCTTTCCATTCTGGTCAACCTCAGACAGCTCATTCTTACTCTATCAATTTCAGTGCAATCATAGTCAAACTCGAACCTACCTCTGTGTCTCTAGTAACAGTTTTATAGCGTCATTTTTCACTTTAAGATCATAATATTCATTCACACGTTTTAACGCAATGTTTAAGTTTTCCACCACTAAATTCAAAATATATAATTAATTCTATCCGCACTTTTTTCTTTCTACGTTACGACACAATTTCTGTACAAGCAGCAAATAACACAGACTGTATTCATGACGTTTACGGTTTTTTTCAAACAGAAACCGTGCACGAGCTAGGTATAGCTATAACGAACCGGCAAAAAAGCTAATTTAAATTCAATCAACATCCTAATCACCGCTTGACAGCCGTCACCATCATAATCACCACCACCATCATGATTATCACATAATCATCAACAGCACCATCATAATCATTATACTCATGATAATCATCATCACTACCATCACTGTCAGCATAATCAACATTACAAAAATCATCGTCCTCATGATCATCTCACTTGTTGAGTTAAAAACCTCGAAAGCAACGTTTCCGTTTTCTTTTGCAAATGGTCTTCTGCATCTGAGGTTCTGTCCGCAGCTCCTGCCATTCATCCTCAGACGGATTATGAGGAGATATGGACAGTGACAGATGCCAAATGTACTGCAGTTGTTATGTTTGCACTGTTACACTTGTCTATTAACGAATGTTTCTGCCTTCCTAGTCCACTGCTACATGCTAATCACTGAAAAACACGAGTATTGCTGATGCGCTGCTTTATTAGCGGATGAGCTGTTGGTAAAAAACGCCCGCCACCCATCATGCTTGTTTCGGCTATTTGTTTATGTGTAGTATTTGCAACAAAGACAAAACCCGCGCTAAAGCAGTGTCGTCATTTCACTGAGGTTCACACGACTCCTGTTTGACTCAACAATGGCATAGATTTGTTTACTGGTTAAATGTTTGCTACGTTGCGATGATCTTCTGGAGATTGACTACAAGCACCGAAAAACGTAATTGATATAAACCTCAAAATATTTGCATATTACACTACAAAGAACCGCAGAATCATTTCGAAGATAGAAAAAAGGTGAAATCGTTTTGCATTTGAAACGCAACAGGCATTTTAAGTAAAACTAAACAAGTCGGAAAATCGGTATGTCTCTCAAAACACGACAAATGCCATTAAGGAACGTTGATTACCTGACTGGGATCAATTTCATAAGAATGCTTTTCTGAGAAGGTCCTGGCTAGTGAGAGGGAAACCGAGTAAATGACAATTGAGATGATAACTGCGTCAAAGAACAACGACGAAAATAAGGAGATCTTTGGCACAGTCGGTTCTGGCAGCCTAAACAGTAACAGGCAGTGGTGCAACGCCAACAACATTACAAGAATACAATAATACTTGACGAAGATAAACTCCAGTATCATAGTGTCATAGGGAACGAACCTCTATAAACGCAAATAACTTAACAAGTACTTCTCAACATGGCGACGTGCTTTCTCGTCCGGGTGATGCAGGATTATGAAAATTCATTTTCAGCTTCAAAGTATACGACCTTCAGTCATGGAACTCTGACATAACTAATTTATTAATAAAACGATAACTTATTTTTTCTTTAGCAATGTTCAAATCGTCAACCATCCACGACGTGTTACACAGGTTAAGCAGTATCGGGAGCGACAGTGGTGCTTATTTTTTTATGGAACACCTCCAGAGGTACACGTACACCCTGACTACAATGTAGCGAGGCCCAGCCAACGTCCGTAACAATGCGCTTAAACGATAAATGACATAATACAATAAAAAGACAGGATATGTAGAAGCCCAAGTAGTCTAATTGATGAAAATGGTGTCTGTTCAAAGTTTGATTGAAGCAAACAATCCCAGCATAAAGCGTGCGGTGTACGTCAATGAATCCGGAGGTTTACAAAATGTACGTCACGGCAGGGCAGCTGAGACATTGGACGTTTATCCAGTAAAAAACTGGACGTTTACCATTCATTGACAAGCAATGTTCTATAGGGGACAGTCCACGTCAGCGGAGGCGGGGGTTGGGTACTGCTTGAGCGGTAATATTATTCGATATGAATTGTCTTAGCACCTGAAACAGTCTGATATATGGAATAATTTAAGCCTCATAAATCCGATTTCCGCAAATCCTAGTAATACTAATGCTTGTATTTGCAGAACATATTCTCACGGTTGCAAGGTAACATTCGCGGTGACGAATGAAATGCCTTAAAAGTGGCAAAGCGGACGAGTACGTCTAAATGTAACGATTGGGCGAAAATGCCTTGCGAGGCGCAAGTAGCTATGCATGTGATCCTCATGAACCTCGTTATGATGAATATTTGAAGTGCAAGAAAATAATGGTAGTACGGGACGGTAATAAATACGTCGAATAAAGGTATAAATGAGACAACAGTTATTATCCGGAAAAAGCCCCGTTTTAGCTCCCCAGTTGCTTGTTGTAATTCTGCCACCATCGTCTTTGGCCGCTTTGCAAAACAGCAGGTTCGCAGCTTCAACGACGGAAAATTACTAACCGACAACCGATCTCCGTTTAGCTTCCTCAACCAAGTGACGTATTGACAACGACAACCGGCCCGGCCCTTTGTCGTCCGTTTGCCAGTTCCAACATCAGCAGCTGGTGAGCCGCCAATTCTTAATTACTTTGCTGCCGATAGCTGGACCGAGATGGCTTCCTACATCGAA